AAAAGCAGTGACACCAACATTCAATCCAGTGTTAAGTCCAGTGTCTGTAGCATGAGCAGCTTCCCATCCATACCTACGAATAATCAAAATGAACAGGAAAAATAGCGTCAGCACGCAATGTGTTAATATTATTTACAAGTTCTGGGTCACTGAAATTACAAATTGGTCAATAAAACCACCACTAGTTTAATCAGCATAAAACAATACTATTGATTACATGCCTCTCCTGATATGTATTTTAAAGTCATAACATCTGCACAGAGGGCGACTATTGTCTTGCATTGCGTACGACCACGGCTATAACTTATTCTAATCAACCTTGGAGCTCTCATTTTATCAGCTGTAAGGTTGATAATCAGATTAGAATAAATAATAAGCATGGTTCTGCTGCATTATCATATCGGATAGGGTACTGTCGGTAAACAAGGAATCATCATTGGTTTATGTACAGGCATTCAACGCCACAGCGTAAGCCGACAGATGAAGCCAAGAACTTTCTATGGATCCAAAAGCGCTGTGGAACCACGGCTAATAAGTTATAGTCTGAAGAGAACTTGCATAAAGAAGCCTTACAATGGAAACGTGACTGGTGGAAATAATAAACTGCCAGAATCAATGCTGATTTACAATTTCTAGTCACGTGGTATGAGGTCAGAGGGCGAGGTCACAGGTCAAAAAGTGAAAATGAAAAAGGATTTTGAAATTGAAAGTTGAAATGAGATTGAAAACACAAATTGAATATTGAATCGAACGAGAATCTTATTAAAAACTATTATGTTAAAGTAAATGAGATAGGCAGGAAACAACAGTGATTTTTCAGTAAATTCTGATAGAAAATGTGCTTTAAAGTGAAAAATACCTATAGTCAACAAAAATGAAAATGGATTTTAAAAATGAAATCGAATCTTGAAAATGAAATCGGATTTTAAAAATGAAAACGGATTTTAAAAGTGAAAACGGATTTTAAAAACGAAAATTTATTTTAAAAATGAAAATTTATTTTAAAAACGAAAATTGAATTTGAAAATGAAAACATGTTTTTAAAAATGAACACTAATTTTAAAAACGAAAATGAATTTTAAAAACGAAAATGGATTTTAAAAATGAGAAAATGAGATTTTCAAAATGTAAATGAATTGTAAAAATGGTTTTAGAAAATGCCATGTTGTGGGCCACCTTGGTTTCCATACTCCTGAAATTCCATTGTTATTGTTATTATGATACCATCATTTATTTTGTGGATTATAAACTACATAAGACAAGAATTTGAATAATCTAGAGTGACAGCACAGTTGACTATCAGTGGAAGTGTTAATTATTTAGTGCTGTGAAAGATTTTGTCCATTTTTCTTCCAATGTAACATGTTTTACAAAACAATTTCAACATAGCTAGATTGCTCTTATATTCATAAATACGATTATGTTTTCCAACAAGAATTTGGGAAATCACAGAAGAATAGTGATCTTCACTAAACTTACAAATTTACAAGCATCTGAGGTTATTATCTGAGATATATAGGGCAGTTGTGTATTTAATCTTCAATGGAAGCACAGACAATCCAGCCTCACTTTGGTGAACACAATCATCTTGTACAATTTCAACACGGCGAGTACAAAGCTCCTATTGGTAGCCGAAAGGATGCACTTAAATTAATTGATCTTGACTTGTATGAACAGTGCTTACATCGAC